CCTCAGCTGTCATGGCCCCACCAGTGGCCGGGACCCGGGGCCTCCCCACCCCTCAGCTGTCATGGCTCTGAAGTGATGGACTGAGTCGCGCCCGGTCATGTGATTTGTGGAATGGGCAGAGCACCAAAGAACTGCATTACGTCGGTCATGGTTCCTTCAAGTACACGCTGACTTTGCTGACTTTAGGAGGAGTATATTTTACTCAGAACTCTGAATTTCACAGTATACCGACTAAGTAAAATGATACTTAAAACACTTATTTTACTTTCTAGACCTAGGCTAGATATGTTTTAAGCTACAGCTCTAGTTCATTGTGATATTTATAATCGAAAAGCTACAAGAATAGATGTGTGGGTGAAGCCATAGAACATATTTGCTTGAAATTCTTGAGCAGGGAACTTACAAAGGGCCAGAAATAAGATGTGTGGTTCACATAGAAAGTGAGCGTAACATCTGTATTAAACGTAGAAGAGAAGTTTATAAAGGGCATTGGCAATACGTTCTTTGTTGCAGCTGTTTTCCAAGTATTGTAAATACTTTTCCTGTGATTATGTATAGCCTTGGAATGGCACCTTTTAACTAACCCATGTGTGTTTGGTTTTCAATGGTTTTTTATATTCAGATGTATATATGGTGCTCACTTTAGGATCAGCAGTGTTGACCATTTATGCTGCATAGCTGTATTATAGCCTTATTAGTTGTGTGTGGTTGGTTGGCCCTCTGGGTACACAAATGTTAGTCTGAGTGGTGTCTTATTCATTTGTTCGTAAGTGAATGATTGTGCATGTGTTGTATGTCATAGTATGTCGTCACATAAATGGGAGGGAGCGAATAACCATTACATTAAGATAATATTGGACCAAACTACTTATTGCTGTAAACAGTTTCTTGTCCCCCCAACCTGTCTTCAGAAGTTGCATAGAGTTACAGTAGTGTATAAATTAAATATGGTGGAAAAGCAGTTAGTCTTGTATTTTTCTGTGTGTGTGTATATATAATTATGTCCTTCTGGCAATTCTATCTGTATTTAAAGATGTGACAATCTTGACACCGATTTTAAGAATAGCGGTGAGACTGAATTGAATTAAAGGTATCCCTACCAAGTAAGAATTGATGTGTGTTAAGAGGGTACAGAATTATCAGCCGATTTGGTCAGTTGCTTCCAATGCTGGTTGATTTTCCTCATTGTGTAAACATTGACAGGTATGTGACAAATTAGAAAAAAATCCAGATAATAAAGTGGCATATTGGTGTTCAGCAATATAAACTGTGTCCCATGTTGTATTTCTTCCTATAAAAGCAGCTTTGTAGAACCCCAGCCCGGGTGAGACCCAGCTCTCACATGCTTTGCACCTGCAGCTGTAGGTGGGGGAAAAAATACAATCGAGACTGTTCTCGGTTTAAACTCGTGACCACAAATGTCAGGTGGGCCTCAGGGCTGCCCATTAATCATACTTTATTTCCCCAGTTCAGCCGCTTTCCTCACTCGACTGGTCACTGTGATCCCTACCACTTGAATAAATTGGAGCTAACACTTGAATAAATTGAAGCGATGAGAACTGCCGCCAGCTCCCACCTCTACTTCCTACCCTCACATGTGTCCACCTGCTCTGCTTTCCTCCTGTTAGGGTGATTCCAAGGTCACCTCCTCCACTTAAACACCCCGGCTCCCATCCCTCTGGCAGCGACAAGGACTTTGCTTCAGTCATTCTCTCTCTCTCTTCATCATCCATCTTTGCTTCCCAACAGCAAACAAAACAGTTTTATTGCCCTGTCTTAAGAAAAAAATTGTTTTTGTCCCGACTTCCCTCTCTAGCTGTTGTCATATTTCTCTGTTCCTCTCCTTCACTCTCTCTGGAACCCTTCCAATCAGCTTTTGTCACTGTTACCCACCAAAACTGCTTTTCTCAAGGTCGGTAATGACCTCCCTGCGCTAAATCCAGTGAGCAGTTTTTAAAAAGTGTTGCTGAGATACAGTTCACATACCATACACTAAATTGTACAATTCAGGGCTATTTAGTATATTCACAGAGTTGTGTAACCATTACCACCGTCAATTTTAGAATATTTTCATCACCCCCCAAAAAACCTTATTCTCATCAGCAGGCACTTCCCCTTTCCCCAGCCCCTCTGCCCCATCCTCAGCTCTAAAACCAAAAAACAAAACCTGTTGCCTTCAAGTTGATCTGACTCATAGTGACCCTATAGGGAGAGTAGAACTGTCCCATAGGGTTTCCCAGGAGCGCCTGATGTATTCGAACTGCCGACCTTTTGGTTAGCAGCCGAGCTTTTAACCACTGTGCCACCAGGACTCCCTCCCTCCCCCCTCAGCCTAGGCAGCCAGTAATCCAATGGTCAATCCCCATGTTATCATTTGATGAGTTGATCATTCTTCCTTCCTTGTAAACTTTCCATCTTTCAGAATCCCACTTGTCCTACCTCTGGTCTTCAGTCTACTGGTTCCTGCTCTCCCAACCGCTACACCTGGAATGCCCCAAGGTTAGATGTTGTTCCCTGTGTTCAGTCTCTTGATGATCTCATTCAGTCCAACATACATATGCTGAGAGAACCCAAAAATATAATTAGCCCACATCTCTCCCAGGTACATCAGACTCCAACTACGTATTTGACTTATCTGCTTGGATGTATCTAATAGGCATCTCAGTTTTTTAAATCCCCAAACTCCTACTAATCTTCCCCCTCAAATTACACCTATCCTAGTGATCCCCATCTCAGTCAATGGCAACTTCAAATTTGTTAGTTTTGCACAAGCCAAAAATCTTGGTGTTATTCTTTTGCTCTGTCACCCCAACACTCAATCCATCAGCAAACTTACTGGCCATTCACCACTCCCACCCTGGGCCACGTCCCCACCATCACTCAACGTGAACAACTGTAAGCGCCTCTTAAAGGGTCTCCCTGCTTTTGTCCCTGCATTTCTCCCACCTGTTCTTCACTTAGCAGTATGAATCATCCCTTTAAATCTAAATCGTATCATGTTTTGAAAGATTTAATTTCCAAATATTTGATGATTTTCTACATACATTTCTGTTACTAATTTTCTAGTTTAATTCTGTTTTGGTCAGAGAACGTGTTTTGTGTAATTGGAATCTTTTTAAACTTAAACTTCTTTTATGGCCCACCATGTGGCCTATTTGGTGACTATTATGTGGGCACTTAAAAAAGCACTATTGTTGGTGGAGTGTTCTATAACATCACTTAGTTCAAGTTGGTTGATAATGGTCACATCTTCTGTATATGTACCGATTTCTCTATCTCACTGTATCAGTTATTGAGAGGAGTATTGAAGTCCCCAGCTATGATTGTGGATTTATCTATTTCTCCTTTTAGCTCTATCAGTTTTGTTGCATGGAATTTGAAGCTCTGTTGTTAGGTACATACTCATTTAAGACTGTTATGTCCTCTTGATGAATTAACCCCTTTATCATTATGGAATGCTCCTCTTTATCCCTGGTGATATTCTCTGTTCTGAAATCTGTGATACTGATGAAACCACTCCAGCTTTCTTTTGACTTATGAGAGCATGTCTTTTTCTATCCATTTAGCCTACCTGTGTCTTTATAGTGAGTTTCTTGTAAACAGCATATAGTTGGGTCTTGCTTTTTTATCCAATCTGAGAGCCTTTACCTTTTAATTGGTGTGTTTAGACTACATTTGGTGTAATTACCGTATTTTATGCAAATAATGCTTCCCCCTGAACAAGGTATTTTCATAAGCACACTATGCTAGTCTTTTTTTTACACCAACATGTGGAAGAGGATTGGCATGGTGGCACTTGTGAGGGTGCCTCATGGGGGAAGGAAGTAGCTGGCAAACAGAGGGTGAGCATTATTTGCGTAAAAATACAGTATCAATATGATTGGGTTTAAAAATAGTCTTCTGGTTGCTCCCTGTTTGTCTCATCTGTTCTTGGTCTTCCCTCTTTTACTACCCTCTTTTGGTTTCACTGAGCACTTTTTATGATTCTGTTTTATCTCCACTATTGGCTTATTGGCTGTACCTCTTCATTTTAACTTTTAGTGGTTGCTGTAGAGTTTACAATATATATCTTTTAATGTATCACAGTCTACCTCCAAATAATATATCATTTATGTATAGTATGAAAACCTTACATCTGTATACTTCCATTTTCCTCTTCCTGTTCTTTGTTCTCATACATTTTACTTTAGCGTATGTATAAATCTCACCTTGTCATTATTTTTATTTTCAACAGTCAATTATCTTTTAAAGAAATTAAAATATGGGAGAAAGTCTTTTTATTTTACCTATATATATCATTTCTAGTGCTTTTCATTTCTTTGTGTAGATCCACATTTTGACATGATATCATTTTCCTTCTGCCTGTAGAACTTCCTTTAATATTTCTTATAATTCAGGTCTGCTGGAAATACATTCTGTCAGCATTTGTCTGAAAATGCCTTTACTTCAATTTTAGTTTTGAAGGGTATTTTTGCTGGGTATAGAATTCTAGGTTGACAGTTTTTTGTTTTTTTTTTTACTGTAATGCTGAACACTGAATTTTACATTGTTGGGGCACTGGCTTTTGTTTTATTCATTTAAAAGGTGTTGGGTTTTGTTTCAGCATACAGTTAACTTGGAATTAGTTGGAACACTTTGGGTCTTGTTTTTAA